TATATATATTTGGAATATACATAGGTAGGGTACAAATATGGTAAGATGACTTTCACCATTAAATCAATTTCATTTATCTACAATATACTTTTCCTATCATCTCCCCCAAGCTTAGGCTAAAAGCCTAAGTTGTAGCTTCAAGTGCTTAAGAACGTCGCGGCATCAAAATAGGTCTACACAAAGGGGTAAGGCTTGTAATATGGTTGCCAAACAAAAAGGTTAAAGGCTCAAGGGAGTTTGACTAGGATAAACATGCAATGGGTAGGCAATTCAAGGTACAATGTCACAACCTAAGCCCATAGCACGTATTGTCCGCATTGGCCTAGGCCCGCACAAATTTGTCTTTTTGGGCTATGCCACCTCGAGCCCCAAAAGCGTGCGTATCATGTGAACATGTGTCATGCCTTATAAAGCTCTTCACTTCCTCTCCTATTCCAATGTTGGATTCGCCTAATATGACATGTGTACCCTCCTTCAGAAGCTTGCCAACCTAGAAGCCTGACAGTCCTGCTTGACCCGTCCTCATCAGCCCGCCCTCCGTCATGGGCATCACATTCACCCCCTTTGGGACTCAGCGTCCTTGTTGAGAATTGCCCCACCATCGTATTGAGGGAGATTCGGCTCTGATACCAAAACTTGTAGCAACACTTTTGGGAGGATGCCACTTACGAAACAAAAGCTAGTTTAATACTTACAACATTCAGAAGAAACTAATTTACAAAAGATATTCATAATAATTTAGTAGCGGAAATAGGCCCATGCGAAAAAGGTTTTAAAAGGGTGATATTTTTTTCATAATACACTTCGCAAAATTTCTTAAATGAATACAACATCAGAGTTTCAATTAAATGTGGTAGTACCCTTCTGTTAAAGTAACTTCCTAATGAAATTATGTTTTCTATTCAGCACCACCGCAAGTTCATATATACACGAATTTCAAACTTTGCTAATATAAAAAGAAAACTATTCTCCTCCTTTGTACATACTTACAAAGCAAAAACTTAGTACATGACAGGAATTGAGTTATTAGCATACCTTAAAACAACAAAACAAGTCACAAAGTTAAAGTTACAAGCTTATGGTCTTGTGGTCCAACAAGCCTTCAAAATTTCATACATAAGTGTAATATATGGATGATGTACAAGTCCCAAAATTATACAAAACTTTTTTTTGATGAAGTAAGTAATTATCATTAATAAAAGACATCCAGAAGATGCAGAATACAAGGCAGCCAAAAAGTTAGCTCCAGAACTATGTCTATGCTAGAATTAAGGAGCTAACAAAATTCAAAAAATTATCAACATTGTTTACATGGGAATGAAAATGCCAGCTAAACAGTCTAACTAAGCATCTGGCCTTAAGAGTGTAAATAGGGGTTGAGATCCCATCAAAACATCTGCTATTCCTTTCAGTCCAGACACTCCAAAAGATTGCGGCTGGGATCATCCTCCAGATCCTTTTTTATGGTTTTATCAACTCTCCAAAAATGCCAACTAATAAATGCTTCCTTAATGTTCTGAGGCATGACCCAATGTAAACCTAAAATAGAAAGGAAGAAGTTCCAGAGATCAACTGTGAGAGGGCAGTGTAGAAATAGGTGGCTGACATTCTCTGAACTTTGGTAGCACAAATAGCATCTGTTCACTAAGGTTATGCCTCTTTTGTTGAGGTTATCCTGTGTTAAGCATGCTCCATTAAGTGCTATCCAAGAAAAGCATGAGACTTTTAGAGGTAGTCTAATCTTCCACACATGTTTCCATGCCCAATCCTCCAGGATGCCATTCTGAGACCACATATGATAGTAATCAGCTTTGACTGTGTACCTCCCTTCTTTAGAGCTTCCCCACAAGATTCTGTCAGGTAGATGTTTACTAAAGCTATAGTCTGCCAAGGCTGCAAGGAGAGTGAGTAGGTCATTGATTTCCCAATCTTGAAGATTCCTGCTGAAGCGGGGTTCCAACTGTTGTTTTCTCTGTATTGGGCAATAGAAGCATCCTTGTTACATGCAAGCTGATATAACCCTGGGTAGGATTCCTGTAGGGTTGTGCTGCCAATCCATTTGTCTTTCCAGAATTTGATATGTTGACCATTGCCAACTCTGAAGGATGTGTTCTGGAAAATTCGTTCTTGTGACTGCTGATGTGTTTCCAAACTCCAACCCCATGTGGTAATGTGCTTTCCTTGGTACACCAGTGGCCTTGAGCACCAAATTTAGCATCTATAATTGTCTTCCAATAACCTGCCTCTTGTTGCCCATACCTCCAAAGCCATTTCATTAACATGCTTTTGCTGTGATTCTTCAAATTCTTGATACCCAAACCCCTTTGGATTTTTGGCTGAGTGACTTTGGACCATTTCACCAGTGAGAACTTTTGAGTTGTGATGTTTCCATCCCATAGAAATCTTCTTCTCAATTTATCCATCTGCTTCAGAACTGAGCTTGGCATGGGGTATAGTGACATACAGTAAGTTGGAATACTATCAAGAACACTGTTGATCAGTGTGAGTCTGCCGCCCAATGAAAGATATTGCATTTGTCATGTTGCCAACTTCTTTTCCATTTTCTCAATGATGCCACCCCAAATACCTACTGACTTAAATTTTGCTCCTAGGGGCAGCCCTAGATAGGTGGTAGGTAGAGAGCCTATTTTGCAACATAGTAAGTCTGCCAGCTCCTCTAGATTAGGGACTTCATTGACAAGATAAATGATGCTTTTAAGCATGTTAATGTGCAAACCAGAAAGAGATTCAAAAATCAGTAGAGTGAGGTTTAGATATGATACTTGAGAACTCTCAGCTCCACATAATACTAGGGTGTCATCAGCATACAACAAATGAGAGATAGTGACTGCAATGTCAGGGTTCCTTCCTACTTGGAATCCTTGTATCCATTGCATTTCTTTGGCTTTCTCCATCATTTGAGTGAGTCCATCCATTGCTAGTATAAAGAGGAAATTGGAGAGGGGGTCTCCCTGCCTTAGGCCTTTTTCGGGGGAGAAGAAACCTACAGGACTTCTGTTAACCAACACTGAGTATTTGACTGTGGATATGTTGAAAAAAATCCATCTTAGCCACCTGTCTCCAAATCCCATCTCCTTCAGAATGTTGATGAGAAATGACCAATTTAATTGGTCAAAAGCCTTTTCAACATCCAACTTGCACAATATCCTAGCTTCTCCAAAACTTCATTGGCTATCAGGGAAGGAAGCATATGTTATTTGTCTAACCTGAAACAAGTTTGCCAATGATCTTCTTGAGTCTTTCAGCTAGAATTTTAGCAGTTATCTTGTACACCATGCCTATTAGACTAATAGGTCTGAAATCCCTCAACTCTATTGCTCCTTTCTTCTTAGGTATTAGTGCAATGAATGTGGCATTGCAAGATTTTACCATATGAGAGTGCTGATGATAGTAATTAAGAGTATTCAAAATATCTGCCTTGATGAAAACCCAACACTGTTGAAAGAAAGCCATAGTATACCCGTCAGGCCCTAGTGCTTTATCAGGGGCACATGCTTTCAAAGCTGCCAGAACCTCTAGTTCATCAAATGGTGCTTCTAACCCTTCACTCTCCTCAGTGGTTAAAGAAGACAACCCTCCAAAGATAGTTGTAGGCCTCCAAGGTTCCAACTCATGGTATAGTTTCTGATAATAATCTAAGATTTCTTCCTTGATGCGTATTTTGTCTTCAATTATGACGTCACCCACTTTGAGTTTGTCAATATGATTGTTTCTTCTCTGAGAGTTTGCCATTCTTTGAAAATACTTGGTGTTCCTATCTCACTCCTTCAGCCATAAACACCTAGATTTTTGTCTCCAGGATGTTTCCTGTGGAATTGCAATCTGTTGGAGTTCTAGTTGCAGGTTGAAAGCTTTCAATTTTTCCTCTGCAGTCTGTGCCTTCTGTTCTGCTATTTGCTCCAGCATTCCCAGTTCTTCAAGAGCTCTGTCTCTTTTTGTTTCAATCTTGCCATAAATCTCCTTGTTCCATTTTGTAATGTCCTTCTTGAGGCTCCTTAATTTCCGAGATAGTATGAAGTCAGGAGAGCCTCTAATTGTGTAGGACTGCCACCAACCTTTTACTAACTCCAGGAAACCTTCTGTTTGAAGCCATATATTCTCGAATTTGAAATAAGATGGTGAGTTTTCCGGTCTCTACTCTCCAACATGATTGGTTTATGGTTAGAAATAACTCTAGGCATTACAGTTTGCTTTACAACTTTGAAGGTGTCACTCCATTCAGTAGAAATTTGAAGCCTGAAGGTGATCCTCCCCTCTTGACCAAGTGTATTCTGCTCCTTGTAATGGTATATCAATCAGGCTTAAGTCTAGAATTGTGTCAGAAAAGCCCTTCATTGCTTTGGACCTCCTTGTGCAGTTAAGTCTTTCACTTTCAAACCTACATACGTTGAAATCACCACCAATTACCCATTGATCAGACCAAAGCCCTCTGATTGATGCTAGTTCATACCTTATTTTAGTTCTTTTTGTGTTTGAGTGAGGTCCATAGACTCCTGTGAACACCCAGTTGAAGTCCTTTGCTAAGCTCTCGAATCTGCAAGATAATGTGAATGTTCCAGATTGGGAATCAACACAGTGCCAAAATCTCCTGTTCCACATAATTAGAATCGCCCCTTTGGTGTCACATGCAGGAAGATCAACCCATGACACCCATCTGCTTCCCCAAATTTCCCTGATCAATGAAGTGCTCCAGTTTTCAATTTTAGTCTCCTGTAAACAGAGAATATCCAGCCCCAGTTTAGCGTACTTCTCTTATTCCTATTGTTTAAACCCTGTATATTCCAACTCAGATTTTTTATCTTCCTCTAGATTGAGTTTTTTGAGACCTGCCCCTAACCTTCTTGCCACTACCCTCCTGTAAACCCATTCCAATTTTTTGAGTTCAGTTCCCCCTTTGGACTTCCCTTTCCTAGACTCCACCTCAGTTTGTGCCTGTTGTTGCAATTGAGTTTTTCTCTCTTTCACTCTTAAAATAATGCCCATAATTTCATGTTCAAAGCCTGCAACATTAACCCCAAAAGCTTTACAAGCTTTTAACATTGCCATCTTTGTCCACCTTGATGCCTCGTATACTGTTGGTGTGTCCACCACTTGTATGCAAAGATCCTCTCTTTCATGCCAGGGCAAATGGAGGAAATCATTGAGTGACTGAGAAGAGAATTCAGATTTCGGCTCACTAACCTTTGGTGAATTTGCAGATAATAATTATGGCAGTAGATGAGGAGGATTAAAATGAATCAAAGGCTCGGCTTCATCATCGGCATCGAATTTGAGTGCGTGAAGTTTCCCCTGTGGTGTTGGTTGCCATGAGTTTGGAGGCTTGAATTTCGAGACAGAGTGGATCGTAGTCGGAAGATGCCTGTGAAGGAGACGACTTAAAAATGCATGGGTCATTTATTGGCCCGACTGCTCTCCAAAAAATATTTGATTTGGGCCTTTTGTGGTTTATCCTGTGCTTTGTGCTTTGGGCCTGTTGAATAATAGCCAGAACTGAGGCCGTATTTAAATTCCCTTTGTTTGACCTACCTAGTAGTAGCTTTGATGGGTCGGTTTCCCTCATTTAGAATGACCCGATTTTTTGAAATACAATTTCTCTCCTTCACGTGATCCCCTATTGACAGACTGGTAGATGCGACCTCATAGAGAGGCACACTGTTCGAGCTCTCCACCAACTGCTTCGCTGCTGTATTTGGTACGAGTTTGTGACCAATGGGTCTTGGAGGTGCCCGGTCCTCCTGCAGAATCTGGATATCGAAGCCTAAGTCCCCCACTTCGAGATTCAAGTTCGCCGGAATTGTCCCATTTGAGTTCTATCTGCATCGATGTAGCCTCCACACTTGTCGCCTACAAATTTGAAAGTCTCTGGTGACCAAGCGTGCAGAGGTATCCCAAAATCTTTAATCCGTCGATTCTCCGACCTGCTGCCCGTACCTTCTGTTCCGATGATCGGCGACTACCACGTTAGCGACATATGTCTGCCGTTCCAAAACCAGTCCCCAACTTTGATTCTTATCGCCTCTTGGCTAGAAGGGAATTCAAATAAGAAGCGATTGTGATCTATTGGGGTAACTCTGATCCCTGCTGAGATTTTCCATCTTGTAGTGAACCATTTTTGAATGGTTTCTGCATTAGGACTGCGGTGGAAGGGGTCATTGAAAACCCCAACTAAGCTCCAGGAAAGTGGGTGTGTATCCGCCATTGTCACTGTGTTAGAGCTTGAACTCATGGGGGGCATCCGACCAACTTCCTATTCTTGCTGCTTCGTGATATCATCTTAACATTGGAGCTGGAGGTCTGATTGGGAATATTTTTTTTGTTTTCTTCAGGAAGCGTAGAATCTTCTCTGCTATTGCGTCCCAACCCTTGTTGTAATCAATCTCTGGAATGATCACCGCCTTCTTTCTCCCCCTTGCCATACCTCAATTCTTACAAATCTGCCATGAATGTTGTAGTTTTGATAGACCCTGTAAAGATATTGTTGTTGTGTTCTCCCCCATCTTCTGTGTAGATCGCCCGCTCTGTTTGAAGCTCGTTTTAAAGTATCGCAGACCCATCTGAGACTAGGTTCATCAATATTAATGCTGCTGGTAAACCGCCTGCCTCTCTCAGTGAGAGAGAACCACCGAGTAAGATCATCCCCAATATTAATGACTTCGAAAGACTTGTCCCCTGAAATAAAGAAAGCTTTTTCCTCCATAATAGAAATAATTCTGCCGGAGAAAAGGATTCATCGGAGAGAAAATCAGAGTGAATAATCACATTTCCCAAGTCAGAGATAAAAACATTTTTTTGTGCTCTTTTCCATAAATTCCAAGATTTTTTTTTCCAAAATTATACAAAACTTTGATGCGTATGCAAATGTGATCTTCACTAAAGCTCCCAAAAGTCTATCCAAATGGCCATCTTCAAATCTTTTCCGGAACATTACCTACGATAGAAAACAACTATCTCTAAGCATAAAGCTTAGTGGCGTATAATCTTTGGGCTTAGAGCCATTAGATTCTCCAATTCCCTTATCAGTCATACATAGCTCAACAACAACATACCCAGTATAATACCACAAGTAGGGTCTGACATACATAGCTCAAATGAGATAAAAGAAATCATGCAAACAAGTTTATCAAAAGTATCAAATATTAAACTCCGCAGAGTTTCCAAATAAAGATGTTTCAAGTTTATACACAAACCTTGGTGTTATACCACACAATATGTTCTACCACAACTTGAGTAGTTCAAATCTTCTATGCTATAGACCAAACCAACTTGTCCACTTCCTCAAACAATTCCTTTTAGCTTGTACAAGAGTATATATACACAATAAAATACCTATTTAGGTTCAGTGAATCAGAATGTCGAAACTAAACATGATATTGGTGAAAATCACCTTAAACATTTATAACAGAAATTCTGGACAGTACAACTGTCTTGTATTGCGACTCAGTTTTGAGGAGGTAAATGGAAAACTAGACTTTGTGGACTTCATGAAAGTTGTAGATATATGTCTAGGGGTTCCAGAGAAATTTAAATCACCCCAATATCAGTTTCGTACAAAAAGTTATGCTCAAGATACTAACAATAGTACAAGGAGAGTTTGTAAAACAGAAATCTGGGCAGCACCTGCCCTGTACTTATCAACCCTTTTCGGGTAAATACAAGCAAAACTAGGTTTTGGAGCCTGAACAAAAGTTATAGAGCTATGAAATAGCTTTCCAGAATAGCTTGGCTCACTTAAAACAAAGTTTTATACAAGGAGTAAGGCTGCCCAATGGGACGGGTCGGGACGGGCCTTAAACGAGACGGGATAAATGGGACGACCCGGTAGGCCCATCCCATCCCACTAACAAACGGGATGGGACGGGACAGTTCGTGGGCCTTAAGTGGGCCTTTTTTTAAAAAAACCTTTTAATTATTTAAGTTTGGCAACGGCTAATTTTTTATAGATAGCAACGGTTATTTTTTTAAAGTTGACAATGACTAAATTTTTAAAGTTTGCAACGGCTAGTTTTTTGACTTATTTAATAAACTTAAAACTTAATAAATTATAAAGAAACTAAGTAAAAAATTATGAAATATTAAAACAAAAGACTTGTAGTGAAATATTTTAGTAATTATAATAAACTAGTAATTTATTTAATATAATCTCAAGCTATAAAGAAACTAAGTAAGAGTGTAAGACAATTCATAAAAAAAATTCAAGGCTAAAGCCTTTTATTTTATTAATAGAACTTTCAAATTTCACATACAAATACAAGTCTTTTGAAGAGCACCTAATCTACGCAATCACCTTCTAGGATGAGTTCTGTTTGAACTAGGCCTCTTAGTAGCCAATTACAAATTAGCATACTAATATTTGCAAAGAATGCCGTTGGCCAACGACTTTTTTTCAAAAAATAAAAAATAAAAAATCACGCGGGCTGGACGTGACGGGACGGGACGTCAACTGGCCGGCCCATCGGGACAAAACGGGCAGCCCGTCCCATCCCATGTCCTGTTTACTATGGGCCCAGTCTCGTTTAAGAGTAAGTGGGCCGGGCCGACCTGTCCCGTTGGACAGCCATAACAAGGAGATATGCTAAAATACTAACAGTTGTCCAGTTCAAAAACTGGTTTGGTAAAGTTACCTCAAAAGTAAGAAGTAGCTTGTGTCTCGAACAAGACAAGTCTTATTGGTAATTTGGTGGGAGAATTTGATGAGAGGAGATGAGTTTTGGGGTTTTCTTTTGCCGGAGAAA